GGATGCTGCATGTTTTCCCCTTTTGCTAAGTAGGGTGGTAAGAAAATAAAACAAAATTCTTCCAGCCTCCAATCGCTATGCTACCAAAGCCTTCCAGCTAGACATATCAAATTAAAATAATTGTCATCTTCTCCAAATAATTTTTAATTGATCGTATCTACACCACAGGTAGAGCTCATTGGCTAGCAAAGGTCTGCATRAAACAAAAATGTCCTATTTGCTTGTGATTTCCCTCAGGCACGGTTTAAACCATTACGATTTACAAACAACTTGACTTCYTATTAACACAGTTTCTTAATTGCTTTCCTGGGAAAACAGTCAAGTTATTTGCATCTTCTTTCTTAGGACTCCAGGGTTTAGTGCAAACGTTTAAGGATAGCTTTTAAATGAAGCAAAAGCAGCCTAGAAGGAAAAAGGGCTGGCCCGGAGCGTGGGTGCTGCGAGCGGAGCTCTGCGCCTCGGGGCGCCAGCGGGGACATGCTGGTGGCTTTGCACGTGCACAGGTTTGTCACCGCTTCTCTCCCCGGATTCTCCATGGCAGGGTGAAGTCTGAGGCTCATCAAGCAGACAATTGCTTTTTTTCATACTTGCCTTTTTAATACTTGTACACATTTTACCAAAAGTTAGTATCTGTGATCCAGTAACCTGTCTGCTACAGGGGAGGCACATGCACTTGAACGCTTTTGAGCACAGTTATTTATAATCAAACTTTCTTGGCCTCTACTTCTGCCAAAAGGCGCAAGCAAGGAGAGCACCAGAGACCTCAATATCACAGAATTGGGTTCCAACCCAACAGAGGTGGGAAGTGACCTCTAGAGATGACGTAGTCCAACCCTCTGCTCCAGCAGGGTCACCCACAGCACGTGGCACAGGGAGGCATCCAGGCTGGTTTGAAGATCTCCAAATCGCTCTGCACCCTCCCGCTATTCCTGCTCAGCGGATATTCATGGGAATACATGGCAATGTCCCTTACAGCCTGACCTTGGGTGCCTTCTGCATATCAGAATAACACTCAAGACAAACCTAAAACAAGTCAAACAATTAAAAACAAAACAAATCGAACAGCAGTACTTTAGAGTGGGCCTACATGCTTTGTTCCCTGAGATAAACTGATGGAATGAGAGAGTGGAATCGAGAAAAACCCACTGAAAAGCAGTGGCAGGACAGGAAGGAATAGAGCAGGAGGTAAAGGCACCAGCCACAGCTCTCACACTGTTGTACTCACACTCATCATTTCATCACCAGCAACAAGTGTRAGCACTGCCTCACTTGAATCTGTGCATCACAGAACCACGGTGCTCACCAATTCATCGTGGCTCTCAAGCACAGTATATTACAGACAGCTTATAGGCAAATACATTCTTATTCCAATCAAGAATCTCATCATTTTCATGCATTAATCAAATTCATGTGGTTCAAGACTCAAGTCCCCACATTCATCAACAATTCAAGTTGAACCTATTATTTAGCTTCAGAAAATTACCCACAGAACGTAATCAAGCATTACTTTATTAAGATGTTCRTATTACAGAGAGAGTGACAGCAGAGCTTCCCCTTTTCGGGCAGCCTGCTGCTTCCCCTGCCACGGACGGGGCCCGAGGGGTCATCTCAGCTGCGCAAGCTGGGAGACCCGGACGGGCGACCGCAGCCACTCGGAGCAAGAGGAAAGTGTCAAGTCACCCATAGAGTATGGTCAGGCAGAAGAAAGAAGGCCCTGTTCCACTCGTCAGCTGAAGTGCCACGGCTCCAAAGCAAAGACAGACAAAGCTACATCAAGGACAGTGTCCCACGGTAGCTGCCATCTCTCTGCTGATTTGCCTGACACAGCTCGATCCAGGGCTTTTCCACAGCTATCCTTTTTTTAACCCTCCTGAATAGGAAGCTTAAAAAGGGCTTGGAAGGACAAATGAGAGGAGACTGAAAAATAGGCTGCCAGCTTAAGAACATTCCCATGAAGCCGCTGCTGAGGGTCACAAGCCAAGAGACATAACATTAACCCGTTCACCAGGCAGCCTCCACCCGGTGTCTTTGGTATGGACATGAAGGGTGCAGCACAGGAACCCTCAGGCAGTGCCCGCTACGGGACCCTCACAGCTGCCCCGCTCCCTTGGCACCCCCGTCCTCCTCAGGCTCTCAGATAGCTTAAACTTCTGCTCAAGCTTTTCCAACAGTAAATTGTGTTTCTAGCCACAGGGAATGTCTGAGGAGAGCACTGCATTCTGACATTTGATATATGCTTTTTTYCCCCTCTATACATTTAGTTGAAAAATAATCAGGAGACTTTTTGGATCCACTAGATGTCTATGGGTAAATAAGGATGGCACACACACACAYATATATATATATCTGAAATGGAAATCCCCTGCCCTCCCACACATTCTGTAGAGGCCAATATGCTGTTCCAGCCAGGTTACCTGCACTTTTGTGAGCAAAAATCCCTTACAGTGAATAGTAACCGATTTGTCATTTTAGGTTGGAAACAAGCACTTTATATACCAGAACTAAATTATAAATCCCAAAGTTATATAGAAGTTGGATATCACCCACAAGTCACAAGTCTGTATTTCTTAGCTTAAAAAAAAAAAACTGATATTTAAGTTAATGGTAATTATTATTCAGCCTATTAACACCAACTGCATATACTGAGAGATGGGGTGAGAAGCTTCCTTTCATTTTATTGCTGAATCTGTGACTAGTTGCCAAACTTTTATTATGGCTGATAATTAGATCCTGTTAGTCGAGCATCTGCTTTTGCTCCAGCACCAAATACCGAGGATCCTAAGTGTTTTAAGAGGTTCTTAACTGGGACAGTAGCAATATATTTTAAAATGTTCTTTGCCTCCCTGGTCGGAGCTGGCACTAATCTGATGGCCTTTTGCTGAGCTTCTTTCCAACAGACAAATGTAATAAAATGATGGGTGGTGGCAACACCTAGGTTCCCTGCTTGTACCAGTACAATGTGCTAAGGTCTATTTTCACACTTAAGGTATCTGCCAAGGCGAAACAAAGCAAGCTGGAGCATACAGAGCTCACTGCAAGGTGCCTTTCCCAGCACGCCTATCAGTTCATCCACAATTCCATAAAACATTGTTCCCATGTCTCCCCAAGGCAGAAGATATGCTTACGAAATACATATTACATATATGCACTAGGATAAAACCAGAGGTTTTCATATGTAATATTGATAAAATCTCTCAAAATCCGCGAGGCTAATTTCATGAAATGTCAGTTTTGCAATTCCTTTGTTCTACCAGGAAAAGGTACCCGGGGCTCCAGTGACCTCCAGCGGGCAGCAGGGAGAACACAGCCCTCCTCTCGCCCAGGCTGCGGCTGCAAAGTCTGTCTGCCCCCCGGCTTGGGCCGTCCCGGGCACACCAGCTTCCCGACAGCAGGACAGGCTTCTTGACTTGTCTTCATGCCAGGTTTAAGGAAATTCTGCTAAAAGGCACATTTGCAGGTACAGGTGCGGTAAGCCAGCACTGCTGGTCAGAGCATCAGCTTTGGCAGAAATGCACATTTACTAGAAACAGACTCAAGACATAKCCTAAAGCTCTTAGCCTCACTTTTTTTCTTTCTTTTTTCCTTTCCTTCTCCCCAGTGAATATTTCTAACTATGGAGTTAAAATGTATGAAAATAAGACTAAAGAATTGCCCAGAAATCTGCTTCCATTTTCTTTTAAACTTCTCATCAGTTCCGTTGCCTGAGGAACAGGAGGGCAGGCCTCCTCACCCATCCTCCACAGTGCATTCCCAGCCACATCACCTGAAAACAACTTCCATCCCCTTGGGACATGCAGGCAACTCCCAGGGCATCCTCACCTGCTCCCAGGGAGATGAGGAACATCTGTGCAGACCTGCATGCTGCTTCTGCTGAGGCTGCCTCAAGACCCTGAGCAATCAGTGCAGATTAAAGCACGTTAAGTGACCAGGTCCCTGATCCAAGACAAACTAGCCATCGGCTATCAGTGGATGGGCTAACTTTGGGGAGTATGTGAGAAGCCAGCACTTCTAAGTCATCCCCAAAAGCAACAGAACATGCACAAAAAAAGAACCATCCTTCTTCCAAGCCATATGCCCAGGAGGACTCATCTCACACTGTTTTTGCTGTTAACAGTAGAATAATAATTATGCATTTTATCTGCTTCTTTGAACGGCAAGAGAAGTAACATTTCCATAAAAAACCATTTAATGTCCCAAAGCATCATTCCTCACTGAAGCGATACTCCACAGACGAGCAATTCTTCATTAGGGGAAAACACACCAAGACTACTGCCTAGTCTCTATTTGCTACTGTCTGCACAATATTTATGTAGAAGATAAAATATTGGCTGGAATCAATACTTCCCCGACTCCCCTATCCATCAGCCCCCCTTTCATTTGATAAAAGTCCTTCCATGTCACTTCTCCAGACTGATGAGATCACAGCACCTCTTTCCCGCATGACTGATGGTGCCTGCTTGTGTAATTGCCCAATAAATCACCACCTCTAGATCAAAGATTTGAGATCCTCTGGATGCCAAGGAGGCACACCAAACATCATAAAACACAATAAGTTAATTACATCAAGATTTTACCACCTTTAGACATGCTGAGTATTACTTGATGGATAGAGCTACCCTGAGAGATGCAGCTGAAGCCACTTCACTGCAGAACCAGGGTCCCAAGCCATAAACCTTTTACAGCAGGGACTGCTCACAGAGGCAGTGTGGCCAAAGGCCCCCAACTCTGTACTGAGCACTAAATCAGAGCTGTGAACAAGATCAACAAGATTAAAGCATCACTGCTGGCCCTCGCACAGGAGCTGCTCTGCAGCCCCTCCATACAGACACAGGGGCTTTGGTTGGTCTCCAAAGGAGCGTGYTTGTCTGCCCCCTCGTAGCCCTTGTGCCCATGCCAGGGCAACCGCAGCCCGGGGCGCCTCCTCTCCACAGCAAGGCCACTGGGTTGTGTTCTGCACAAAAGTTCAGAAAAATAGAGAAAACAGTGAAAATGCCAAGTACCTTTTTTCTCTGCCAGCTCTTGCAGTCTCACTTCCTCTCCCTGCACACCACGCAGCAGTAGCCTCCACAATGCCATAGCCTCCACTAGAGTCCAGCTCTCCTCTGCCTCCCCTTTCTCAGGGGACCTGCCCCACAAGGGCTAAATAGGCTCTGCTGCTCCCACCTGGTGGAGCCCTCAGCATCAGCTGAGCTTTTGCCCCCACTGTGTCTCAGTCACCTGCTGCTCGTTGGCCAGAGCTGCTCCTGCCCCACACCAGCTGGTGCCAATCGAATTACTAGGGCTGCACAGGTTCAATACACCCGTCCCTACACTCCCCGTCCTCATCAATGATGCAGAATTAAAAAAGGGAAAAAAGCTTTTGAACAAACACTATTCATCCAATGGGGAATCTCATTACATTGCTAAATGTCTTTACTGTATTTTACTTCATGATAGGCTCTCCTAACTTAATAGAGTACTTTGCAAACTCAATCTTTTAAAAGGTTTTCTTACACAGATATTTACTTTTCTTTGAGGATGGGAAAAATCAGGAAAGAAAATTAAATTACTTTGCTTAGTGATCTTAATTACCTGAAATAATTACCTTTAGTCAATTCTCAAACAAGAAATCTCTGGAGAACAGTGTATTTTAGTTTGGAAAAAGGAAAAGGAATTGCATCCAAAGAAGAAAAAAGGCTAATTTTTTAGATATGCCTAATTAATCACCTGAGTGAGGAATCCAATCAAAGCTTCTCAAGTAGACTGCATTATTAGAAGTTAGTTAGAAGGGGGAAAACCCAACTGAAGGGTTTAAATGAAAAGAGAAACTAAGACCAAAAAGTCCTTCAGTCCTCTACTCAGGTAGAATTTACCCTGCTGTTCTCCTTTCTGTAGTATATTATGATGACTAAATCCTAATGAAAGTGCTACTTAGTAGTTATAACATATTTCAGGCCTCCTAGATGAAAAGTAAAACTGTGCTTTTAAAAGCTGGGATGGTTCCACTTCACTTGCACCTTCCGTGTCTGTCTTTGCTTACAAATAGTTTCTCTACTGAATTTCCTTGTGCAGAGAAGTTCAGCCTAACTTGTCACCTTCCAAGGACTTAAAAGCAGGATAGTGTTTAAGGGTTCAATCAAAGCAAACAAACTGCTAAAAATAAACAGGCGTCCCATCTGTTGCCGAGCAGTCAGGGGATGGGATGAAAGGCTGTAATAAACACCTTGAAATGGGTATCTGAGAAGTTCTGTGGCTTCAGGAAAATGGTCTGATTTTCTCTTCCTTTCCTAACACAAAGAGCTTTTCATTTCCTAAGGGGGAGAAGTAAATTCCACGGCATGGGGAAAGAAAGCAAATATATACTGGAGCTCAAAATGTTAATGATTTTCAAATGAGCCGCTGCTGATAAACATGATTTCCCTGGCAGAATGTGAAACTCTAGCCTGTGTGTGATTGGAATTTTGTGCCATCCGAGTGGGTTATATCTGTGCACAAAAAGCAGCAGGACAAGCAGCATGTATTAATCACATTCCCATAATACACAGGGAAAATATATTCCTTTCTTTTCTGAGACCAAAAGCCATTCTGTAGCAAAATCTTTGCACAAGAGATATTTTGCAAATCAACGAATTTATAACAGAATTTAATAGAAACTATTGCTGCGGCAAAACACATGGAAAACAGAGGGTGTCTTTAGAAATGCAGGGCCAGTGCAGGACTGTGCCAAAGGCTAAACTGCCGCCTCCTGTCGCATGTGAGAGCAGGAATTTYCATTAGGAATCATTTTAAAGGTCCCTTACTCAACCTTCACCTACTCCTTTTTGCAGTAGGTGAGGCAGACCCCCTGGGTCTCTATCGTACCTGGCGTGCTGGCGCGACGGTGCAGCGCGGGCAGGACGCAGTGAGCACCGCGGCGAGTCCCCATGGCAAGCCCRGCATCCCTAAACGAGGAACATATGAAAAGCCAGCTGTCACTTCTGTAGGATTGCTATGACCTTATGTATACTTCTACCTATACCTCACTTAACGATACAGCCTGGTAGGAGAGATCACACTGCTGCAGAAACAACGTGACTGCCCCATTCCTGTACCTCAGGAATGACTTGTGTCTTGTCCAGTCTCAGCTTTATGAAGAACAGATAAATAACACGTGATAAATAGTGAACACATTCATTAGAATTAAAAACCATTCRGTCCCTGGCTGCTAGATGAGGATCTGGTGGGTATTCCTCAGGGAGCAAGGGAAGGGTTGCTCTGCGAGGGCTGCCAAGAGCTCCACCAGCCAGGCACGGCATGCGATCCGTGCACCCCAAAACCAGAAAAATTGTGAGTTTAGATTTTATAAATCAGAAACAAAGTGTTTAATTCTGAACAGAGCGCATCATAAAAAACATGCTGAATAAAAGGTCTTCATGCTAGGGAGACGTCTGCACAGAGCATTGCGGGAGCGCGACAGGTCTGTGAGCGGGTTCTGGACACGCTCTGGTTTTGGCGAGCTTCCTCCTCGTCCCCCGCGGGGCYGGCAGCCTGCAGGACGTCACTGCCTGGCTCCTCGTACTGGCACTCATCTACTCCAATGTATCATGTGTGACACTTCTTTATTTTTAACTAGAGCAGAAAGGCAATAAAATAAAAAATAAGAAGAAATGGCTGTGCTGGGAAGTGTCCAGTAAATTGGACTTTGCTGCTCAGCCTACTTCATGTTAATTTATTAATACTTATTGTATAGTATCAATATATATCAATATGATACACTTTCAATAATTATAATAATAATATTTAAATTCAGTAAAGCATCATAGCAGAATGATTTCAGGCCTATATCTGCATCCTGCAGAGAGCTTTCTTTTGCAGAAGGGCCAGCTCTGCCTGAGGAGTTTGGTTTTCCTGGCTCCAAATCCCATGTCTTCTTCCAGCTCCCACTGTGTCTGACCTTCGCGTTTTTCCAAATCTGTTTTTACAAATTAACTTATGAGAAGACAGCACTGACCAAGTGGCACACACATGCACAAGACGCATGAGATGATGATAATATAGCCAAGGAAGCTTTCATGCTAAAGCATCCTTAATTTTGTGTGGAGCTTGTCTATGTGTGTTCTGACCATGGCAAATCTAAACTGTCTTGAATATTTTGGGGCAAATCCTTGTGAAATATTTAGAACTTCTGCTGTGATTTGAGACATGAGATTGTTATGAACCAGAAATCTATAGTGAAACTATTTGTAAGATACAGATCCATAGGGATCACCTCTAGGAAATGTATTTACAAAGGAAAAAGCAAAAAGCTATTTAAGGTCAGGAGAACATGACAGCCAGATAGCAGTGGAGCTCCAAACACAGACTGTTACAAGCAAAAAGAAGAACTAGGTTCTTTCAGTATTTTTGGAGGCTATTTGTAAAGTCCCTGATAGTGCCACATCGTGTGGCAGGAATCTGAAGCTGCTCCAAGAGAGCAAAGAGCCCRTGGGGTGGGATGTGTTCACATCTCGCGCCTTTGGGAAGGATGCTCTGCATACTCAGCTCTTCTCCCTGCCAAAGCCAACCTGGAATCGGACACCTGACAGCTATTTCAGTTCTCTGCCATATAAATAATGAACGGTTTCATAGCGGGCGGAATCCAATGGCACCAGATGACTCTGGTAATAAATCAGGAGAAAGGCAGGTGGTCTCCTGTCCAGCTTCTCAAGCTGATGTGCAGCTGAGGAGGGAGGTGGCTCTGCGGCAAAGCCCATCAATACCAATCTCAGCTGTTGGAAGGCGCAGACTTTTCAGTGCCTTTTTAAAGCCTTGTGATCATTCTGGTCTCATGTGAGAAGTCTGTCTGGTCTCACTAATGACGCTCCCGTCAATACCTACGTGTTTGGGAGTCTGAAAACAGCATCTAAAAACATCTCCTTCCAAATAGCCGTTATTTTAATTGGCTGTGCATCTTCCCACTTTCAGACCTCACTAACACCAATGATTGCTACCTCTTTAGCACTCAAGCCCCCATCATTACTTCTATATCTCCCGAGTGCCCATAGAGATCTGGGAGCYTGCTGGTATTTAGCACATATTTGAGATTTTTTTCTGTTCTTTATTCAATTATTCTAGCTTTATGCTCTGATAAGCCCTGTCCTGTGCACTGCCCTGTTCTACAGGCTGGAAGCGGCATGGTTCCTTCTGAGAGAAGTGGTTGCGTATTCTTTTAAAGTCTCAATTTCAGTTACATATGTTGGATCGATCTTCTTAAACAATGCATACATTTAATCTCTGCATTAGGATCACATAACAAAGGCAGATTCTGAAATTCAAAGGTGTTAGCTGGCTAATTTACATCTTATAATGATGATTTTAGTGATGTATTTTAGAAGATGCTGCCAGAAATACTGCTGAGTTTGAAGGCTGTTTTGTGCACAGTGCTCAGAGGAAGAGCAGATGAGACATTTTCCCTTCATTTTTTTTTGGCAGGCTGAAATTTCCTGTGCGTTCACAAGAGGGAGCAGCAGGCCACAAAATAGGAGGCAGGAAGGCCCCCCCGACTAGGGGAGGCAGTTAAGGATAAATGGAGCCTGACACATCATTCAAGGACATGTTTGGGACATATCCTCTAAGGATTAACAAATTCTTATAAAGGCAACCAAAAATAATTTGAGATTAAGACATAAAAATATTTTGGGGAGCTGTTAAATACCTGGGGTATCACCAGCTGCTCTGGGCTCTGCAGAACTGGAACAGGTCGGGGAAAGGGTGACTGATGCTCAGAGGGATGGAAATGATGGAAACTTCAGTAATTCTTTCCAAAAGAGGCAGTACAGATTCAAAGACAGAATACCTAATTGCAAATCGGCTCTTTTAGAATCACTCTATAAGTAAATATACCTGCTGTACAGGCAGTTTTAAAGCAACACAGAAAAGCAAATAATACTTACATTTCCTCTGTAAGGAGACTAGAACTGAATTACACTTTACTTCAAGGAGCTCTTCTAGTGTAAAACCTTCCCCCTGCTCAGAAATCCCCAATGGGCTGTTCAGAGAAGTCCTTTATTYATTTTTATAAGAAAAAAACAAAACATCCTTGATGAAATGCGAATATAATTTGCCTTTAAATAACCAAGTGAACCAGTTCTCAGTATAAAAACGGCCCATGTTGCTCTGTGTGACCCTGAAGGGCTGCGGGGAGGCAGGAAGTGCAGAGATGCGCTTTGCACACGTGGCCATGTGCTCGCCATCAACACAAGTCCACCAAACCACACATTTTATCATTAATTCTTGGTGTTTACTTTCTGAGTTCGTATTCACATTCAAGGAGTCAGGCTTAGCAACTTTTCCATGCTTGACAACCACCTTGGTTAGGCCTTCAGTACAAGAGGCCTTGCTTGCCCTCTCACTGATAATATTCAGAATTATTTCCTTTTCTTGCTTCTTCTCAGAGTTATGCAGAAATGAGTTCCCATGTCACCAGGGGATATCTGAACTAAAGTCACCCATTTCCTCCTTATCCAAGAGCAAGTGCTCTGACATTGTCTGATGGCTGTGACGTGGGAGCAGGACCTGCCACCAAGGCTGACTTTCTCGCAGGGTTCCTCAGTGTGTTGTGACCTGCGAGTCCAGCCGCTCTCCGGAGCAGCAGCCAGGGCCCGCGCTGCGGCCCCACTTACCCAGGCCTGAGGGGCCTTGCTGACATCCTCGCAATGGGCTGCTGTCATTTGCACATGGTGCTCCCGGTTTTCATCACCCTTCCTCACTCCTAATTCATGCCTTTAAAAACTAGACTGTTACTTGAGTGTCTTTGGTTAATAACTGCTATTTTAACTCAGTCCCATTGAGAGCTCAGGAAAAGTCCCTGAACTGAATTGCCTGTTGTCCCAGATTTCTGCCGGGCAAGGTTGAGAGTCGTTGTCTTGATGGAATCATTTCACAGTGGAAGTTCACAGGGGAACTTTTTCCCTTTCACTCCCACTGCATCGTTGGTGCTTTTCGCAGCGTTTCTGAAGGCCACACACTGAGCAYTGTACAGTCCAAAATGGAGAAAGAGATTTTCATACTAGAAACTTCCTACTTCAAAAGATCAATGCAGATTCCAACAAGAATTTACCTAGTGAGTAAAGGAAAATCTCACGATTCAAAACCACATCCAGATATTCTAACCAAAATCCTCAGCACATCCAGGAAAGGAAGGCAGAATTCTGAGCAGACTTGTGCTTGGAACCAAGCTACTAAAGAAAACAATATTAAGGAAAAATAATGCAATTATCTTCTATCGCATTAGAGTTGATATATTTCCGAAATAAATCTAAACTTTGCTTTACTAACACACACTTTTCTTTTCAGGCATTATTCTAGATAGCATTGGAAATCAACTGCATAGTCAGTAATGTTATTTTTGTCAACTGTGAAAATTCTCCATTACAGAAAAGATGCAAAGAATGATCTATATTCCCTGTATTCCTGTCATGCTTCTCCAGAATTCAAGCACACGGGGTTGCTGAAGGCAGAAATGATGGAGAGCGTCTCGCTGCAGGCGCTGGAGTGAGGGGCCAGCGCAGCCCCTCGGCAGGGCGCATCTCTGCGCTTCCTGCCTCCCTGCAGCCCTTCAGGGTCACACAGAGCAACACGGGACATTTTTATACTGAGAACTGGTTCACTTGGTTATTTAAAGGCAAATTGTATTTGCATTTCATCAAGGAATGTTTTAATGCCATTTTTTTAAGCTGTGAGAAGTCCTTGCTGCTAGGAGGACCCGAGCACCGTTCAGTTTAGAGGGAGAGCAGAATTAACCATGAATGGAGCAGTTCCTGCGGGCAAAGCGCTCGGGCTGCCGGCTGGCGTTGCAGGTAGCGCCGCTGCCGCTGCCGCGCGYGCACATGCACAAGCACATGCACAAGCAGCTTATTCTTTGGCAACCGACTGCCCTTTACGTGCTGCCTAGTTACCGTCACATAAAAGCCATCTCCTTCATCCCTCCCCTCCAATCTGGCTGACTCTTCACGCCGAGGCTGGCTGAATCCCTACAGACCTGGAGGAGCTGAGCAGGAGGAGCAGGGAGCAGCACTTGCTTTGTTTGTGCTGACTTGGGTAAGCAAAATATTTCCTTAATAACCCTTGGCTTTTCCCAACTGTTCTGTGTAACAAAGCAGGCATTAAGTTGGATTCTGGCTAACCCATTTTTAAAATGAACTGCATCCGTTAGCAGGAAAATGCAGGAATATCTCCTTGCACAGACAGTCTAATATTCTACTGTGCTCATCTGTTATATTTAGGAACTTCATAGACAGATCGGTTATAACATTTTTCTTCAAAACTCTTTTAAAAATGTGAAATATTTATATTGAAAAATGTGACTCTGCAAGTGTTCATCAAGGACTCCTAAGTTAATGCATTGCTTTTGAATCAACTGAGTAGTGGAATGAATACAAAATGTATAGATATTTTTCTAATGGCAATCTCATGTCTTCAGTTTCTTCTTTGGTTATTCCATTCTATGAATACACAGGCTGCCTGTTAGTTAATTCATTCATACACACTGTGCTTGTTTTGGTGGGTTTTTTTTTTTTTTTTTTTTTTTTTTTTTTTTTTTTTTTGAAAAGCAAATCCCTTTGACTTTGTATTCTTCTCTTTTTTTTAATCTAAACTTCTAATTCTAATGCCAAAATCATGAGGGAAGCATGCATCTTCCCATACGCCACGTAACTTGTCACAAGATTATTAATCATGTCTTACAATAATTTTGCTAATGCAGTATATCCATTCAGAAGCAGAATGTCTGTCTGTAGATGGATCTGTTACWGTGAGATAGGAAAGCTGAACAAATTTCTTCAGGAAATATTTAAGCAAGGTCATAATAACACTCATTACATTCTAAGCAATGATGTGTCATTTGCTGGATGAGAGAGAATACAGCAGCAGTTACRTTTATTGACTTAGTCTCCAGAACAGCCCAAAGGTCAGACATTAATATTGAAACTACTWTCAGCATATAGTTGTCAGATTAAATCCTGTTACTGCTTAATTTGTTATGAGGGAGGTGGCATGCTAAACACATTAAAGCAATACTTTATACTTGTCTTTTATCACCAGAAGTCTTTACATGCATTAATGAATATTTCCTTTTTATTTTGCAATCTTAATGCACTATTGTTCTTGTACTAGTAAAAGGAGAACATAGAGGCAATCATAAACCCCTCCCTCATATTAGGAATTTATAATGTGTGTTGTTCAAGTGTGGGTCAAGTRTGTGAGAGCAGCCCCCATCCTTCATGGGTCCAGGCACTGCCAGGACAGGAAAGCTGCCCCAAGCCCGGGACTAAGGCGATCGAGCATCAGGATGGAGCTGACCAGTGATGGAAGTGGGCAGACACACACATCACCTGGCAGGAAAAGCTGCCAGCCCAAGGACAAAGTCTGTGTGCCCAACTTGTATGAAGGTGTTTTCTATTCCTAGGGTAAATGAAGCTTCTTCAGCTAAGCAAATAGATATATTACGTTGTGTTTATCCACACACTGTGTACTGGCATTGAGAAAGGTCAGGGCATTGTTGGACAAATTCAGAGCCTGAATAAATAAACAAAATAGGCGTATTTGTCAAACACTGTGTTCTCTAGAACTGCAGCAGAGAGCAACACGTGGCATAGACAGATTAAGTACAAGAGTAAAGGAAGGGTTCACAGAGCATCCATTACCAAATTCACACATCCTGGAATTCAGTCTTCATGGCTGGGTTTTGAGGCTTCACGTACAAAGCTCCAGTGCAAATGGCTTCTTTCTGTACAGAAAGGGGGAAAACATTTAGTAAAATGTGATCCAGTTCAATAAAAGGAGGCAGACAAGTATTTATCATCTGAGAACCTATACAGTTTTTACATTTTAGGCAATTCAAATATATCATTGTTTTGCTCTCAAAATAGCACCACTTATTTCCATTTTTCACAGCAAGGCAGGCTGAGACAGGAAATGATTTGTTCATGATGAAAACTGAGAAAGCAGGAAATCAAATACACATGTATGGAGTCACAGCGATTCATCTGTCCTTTCCTCTAGATATCAGCAAAAACAAAATGCCATATCCATACAGTAACAGAAGGAGAAACTATAAAATGAACAGATGATTCACAAGCGACTAAAGAAAACACACAACTCTTCCTTTTAGAAGCAAAATCCATTAAGAAATAACATGCACAGAACTTTGTAAGGAATTAAGTGTGAAAAAAATAAGAAAATAAAACTTAAATTAGCAAATGTTGGTCAGATTTTATACTATACATATAAGTATATATATCCCCTTCCGTCAGTGCCCATTTTCAATGCATTTCTTTTGTATCCTGACCATGCAATGAGCATGGTCTTTTCTCTCTCATCTACAAACTTCATTGCTCACCTTCCAGTGTATTTCCAACTTCTGTAATRCTAGACCTATTCAGAGCACTGAGATATTTGTACAACTGTCCCATCTTCCAAACCTTGTGCAATTTCTAACTAATTCTCACTCCCACAAGTGATGATAGTCCAGTCTTTGGYATTGCAATAGTCCTGCACAGTCTGTACTCCTGGAGGTGGGAGAGGAGCTCGGGAGGGACAGGCCAAAGAGCCCTTTGGGGCTGGGCTTGCAGGAGCCTGGGTTTCTGGAGCTCCAGTTCAGCAAACCTGTGAGATTGAGAGTGTGTYGCTCATACCAGTATTTAAAAGATGGGTGGCAGATGACTTAGCACCCTGACATATGTGCTGAGCACCTTGAAGTACTACGACACATTTAATAACCAGATTTTGTGTAATTAATTATTTAAATATCAATAACTCAGCAACCGTCCAGCAGAGCAGGGACTCCAGAAGCTGCATATTCCTGATTTTACAGCCTGCCCATTGCGTCATCACAGATCAACAAGGCTGGATTGTTCAGTCTGGATAAACTACCTGTATCCCCCTCTGCATTTTGCCCAAACGAGCCCTTTTAAGTTGGAGAGGCTTTACCAAGAAGAGCAGCTGCTCCTCTTGCCACCCTTGCGCTGGGGAGCTGGAGAGGGGTGGTCGGCAGCCCTGTGCTACGTCACGGAGCACCCAACAGCACTGGGACTTCACACCCTTGGGACTCCCTGCAGRAAGGAAAGGAAAGGAAAGGGAAGGTGATGACTGAGATGCCAGAAGTAATATTAATTAACAAAAATTAAAGAAGACAGCAACACAAACCACACAATACAGACCAAGAAATGTCTTATATTTATTTCCCTTCTGYAGTCATGAATTAATTAAACTATTTAATATTCAAGCCATAAAGCAGCTCAACTATAATCCATCTGCATCCCTAGTTGTATGTAACTTTTTAAGCCAGTAAGTCATAGGTACTTTAGTTAAATTAKCAACCACTCAGCTTGTTTTTTTACTGCTAAATATAAAACACAACACAAATATTTTTAATTGCCAACACACATAAATGGATATATACTCTCCAGGCAATACTATCATATGGTTGCCAGGTGCTTGTTCAGCTGATCTAATAAAGCGTACTGACACTTTGACACGATCAGTGACAGGGCTAGTGCTAACAGATRTGACAAAGTAAGTACAAAACATCATATATTTCAAAGACATGGATAAGTTTGAATCCTCTGACAAGCAAACCAGCATTCATGGCATGTTGTACCCAACTAGCCACTAGTTACTCTTGTTCTTCTTGTGAGTACCTGGCACATTAATCCTTTCTCTCTTGCCCTTCCTGACAGAACTCCCTGCTTCCACTCTGGAGAARATGGGCCGCAAGGAAGATGATGACAACAGCTCCTGGAAAAAGCAGACGAACAACATCCGAAAAAACTTCATTTTCATGGAGGCACTAGGATCGTAAGTAGCACAGCCAGTAGCCAAGCAGAGCCTGCATCCAGATACTGCATTTCCCAACCCGGCGCAGCTGCTCCCAGGCTGGCATCTGCCAGTGCCACAAGCAAACACGTCCTTCCGAGATCTGCGAGGAGCTCTAAATAAGAGCTGGGGGGTACTTTATAGATGCACAATTAGTTCTTTACTAATTTATGGTTCTAAATTTCATCGTATCCAAATTTTTTGTAACTTTACAACATATGGAAAAGCTTCCAAACATATTTATTCTAGAGTTCAGCAATGCTTTAAATTGTCATGTTCCTGGTCAGCCTCAGTAATTAGTTAAATTATCCAATAACTTTCTTCTAAAGAAATGAGGTTAGAAACCGTTTGTTCTCTCCTTGCCAACTTGTTGATTCATGAGTTTTTAATATGAGGCATAATTATTATAAACTGTTTAGGACTGAAATACAGAACAGATGCCCTAGCATCTGATTTGTGGGTTGTTCATTTCCTAATATTACATTGGTAGGAAAAGTTACTATTAGRAAAAAGGATTCTTTCCACAAGCACTGCTTCAACGAGTTCAAGAAAATAAAGGAAGATTCTTGGAGCTAAAACTACCTAGAAATTTATTGAGAGATTTCCAGGGAGCTCAAAAATTCTGCAGTTCTTGCTACTGCTTGCAGAGGCATTGCAGGAATAGGCAACGCTGCACAGGCTCAGACCTACCGTTGCCACTGACCAGTGTCCCGTCCATGAAAGTCTTCTGAATTACATGAAAAAAATCACATACATGGAGGAAAAGACTCCAATACCTATTGGGCTACCTCGCCCTCCCTACCCTGCCCTGCAGCTCTCTTCAAAGCTCTCCCATGCAGCAGCCCTTTCTATTTAACTACCATCAGTTAATCAGCTGCTCGTTGGATGGGCATTATTGAGGACTGACCTGGCAAAGCATGCACTGTCACTATCCCAGGACATGTGCCCGAGAAAATCCTGTAACAGGATTATAAGGTTAAGGGATGTTATAAATATCTCCTCTTCGTTGCACAGAGCTGCGCTCTTGTCAGGAATGTGCTTGGTACTCACTGTAATTTTTTAACTAGAAAATACAGGAATAAGCAGACTCTGTAGACAAGTTATTAGGTGCCACGTGGAAACATGAAGCTGGGGGCTGAAGTCTCTGCTGGCTTTGCCATCTACCTTCCCTGAGGTGTGCTCTGAGGCTGGGAAGAGCAAAGTGAACTCCCAGCCTGGCACATACAGAGTAAAATGAGTAAAATGCTTGGCTGTCTCTACAAATGGGGAGCTGTCCTGAAGAATGTGGCTTAATTTCACTGCCAGGATCTTTTTTTTTTCCCAAATTTCTTCAACACAACTATATTTGCATGATATACTATGCAAATGTGACCTTTTCCTTACATAACAGAGAAAATGGGATTTTTCTATATATTGTATAATTATTGCATTGAATATCCTAAATTTGGGGCTGCTGGAAATGTAGCTCTAGCTTTACAGTTAGCATCCACTTARAATTATTTACTTTTTTCTTATTTTTCTGACCTTTTTCCTTCCTCTCTGCAAGTTTCCTTCTAGTTCCCAACAGCAACATACGTTGAAATGCACTTACCTTTCCTCTCTGCAGAGGTGCCTTTTCAGAAGTTTTCCTAGTGAAACAAAGAAGCACTGGCAAGCTCTTTGCTYTGAAATGCATCAAGAAGTCTCCTCTCACTAGGGACAGCAGCTTGGAGAATGAAATAGCAGTATTGAAAAAGTGAGTGTACATATATAATATATACATATATATATATATAAATGTAGAGTAAAACAAACATCGCTTCCCAAGGCATAAGACTCTGGAGACTTACAAGAATTGAGGGTAGGAATAAGTAACATTTGCTCCCAGTCTCATTGCACAAAACTGTGTTATCTTAAGAAGTGGAAGTGTGAGAATAAAAACATATTTTTTCAAACAAATATAGATATTACTGTAAATGAATATATTAGCAGAGTTTCTTCTCCTATTCCCCTGCTGTGGCCGTAACCTTAACACAGCAATACTGCCTCAGATCTGAGAAACTGATTAAACAGAACAGTACACAGCAAAGGAAAGTTAGAGTTAATGCTTTATCAGCATTTAAATACACGTGATGCAGAGGAAGGGAAGCTGCTTAAAAATGAAGAGCCTGCTCCTTCATTGTTAGTGCCTGGAGAGAAGGCACCACATGAGCGTGCATAGCCACGATGCAGATCAGTGACTCTTCTTTCATGATTAAAGCAAGAATAATAGGCTTTCAGCTTGAAAAACAAATGYTGTCCTTGTCAGATATGTCTGTAACCTATGTTTATCTTTGCAGAATAAAACATGAAAACATTGTGACTCTGGAAGATATTTATGAGAGCACAACTCACTTTTACCTGGTCATGCAGCTGTGAGTATTAGCAGAGTCATGTCTTTCTGGGCCACAAAAACAGTGGTAGGAGCAGGGTTAGCTGCCTGAGCTCAGGGCCATCAAGAGTCCATTACATTTAAAAGTCACCTGCACAAACATTCCTCACTAATGAGGTGTCAGCTACATGATTTGAACTAACATCGATGTTTCTCGTACTGTTTCAGCCTATGTTCATTCTAGCAGTTCCTGATTAGGATCTACTTATGCAAATTAATTAATCCCAGTTTAGCAGGATAGAGACAGAGGCATTTCTAATTAAAGCTATGGCATGCTGCGGTTCTGAGAACGAAAGCAGGCAATATGTGAGCTGCAAAGAAAGCAGCTTGCTGTGGGCACCAGCTTCAGGCTGCTAACTTGCAYATTTACCTACACAAAAATATACATCAGGCTGTGCATTAGGTTGGTGGCAGTTCTACACCCACTTCTGAAAGCCCATCTGAAAGATCAAACATGCAGGCAATTGCAATACAACCTGTGGCTTTGCCAGGAGTGGTTACTGTGCTCCAGAGCCTGCTGCTGTTCCAGTCTCCCAATTATCCCAATTATCCAGTCTCCCATATTGCTATGGCCACTATAGTAATATTTGTGCTGTAAATGGAGTTGGAAAAGGGTTGGAAAATCAGCTTGACTCAAACATGAAAGTATATTTGTTTAATATTCAACCTTTTTCTTTCTGAACTATCATTTCTACAGGGTATCTGGTGGAGAGTTATTTGATCGAATTCTGGAAAGAGGAGTTTACACTGAAAAAGATGCGAGTGTGGTAATCCACCAGGTCTTGACAGCTGTGAAGTATCTCCATGAAAATGGAATAGTTCACCGAGACTTAAAGGTGAAAGGTGTTCCTGAGAAATAACAATGTCCTATAGGCATCTGCAAGCTTCTCTAAAGCTCACAGGGCAATCCTCCAAATCCTCCCATCGAGGTTTGCCTCCCAGCTGCTCGCAGCATGTGCAATAGCAGGGTGATTCTGCTGGCAGCACCAGCCTGCCCCAGGACACTGCCCTTCCACTGCCGTGTGTCCAGCACGTTAGTCTGGCTAACCACCAGACATCAGGAATATGCTCATACTCGATCCCATGACCTTTCATTGTTTCTTTTCATTTTTCTAGCTCAAATTTCAAACCCTGTCCACTTTGTGTTCACAGCCTGAAAACCTTCTTTACCTCACTCCCGAAGAGAACTCTAAAATCATGATTACAGACTTTGGCTTGTCCAAAATGGAACAGAATGGCATCATGTCCACTGCCTGCGGCACTCCAGGATACGTTGGTAGGCCAAGGGTCGGGAATGGGTTTTTACTGGTGGTCTGTCTGGAAAAAAGATGACACTTTTACAGTACGCTRCTGAGCAGAAAGGATAAAAATATATAATCACCTTAACACACACTAGTAATAGATGCACTGTGTGTGCAGACTACAAACACTGGATTACGGGTTAAAGAATGCAAAGTCACAAAATATTTGAAAATGCAAAGAGAAACATAATAGGAATACTTCACTACCATAAAACTAAATGTCTTAAAGCTGCAAAAAGGACAGATCAAATCCTTCAGTAAATAGAGCTTTTACTGCCTGGGTTCTCCTACACTGGCATTTTAGAGGCCATCTCACCTTTTTTTCCCAGCACTGAGGCATTGAATATTGCTGGCTTTCTTAAGAAGTTTTTGCTTTTCTGCAGCTCCAGAAGTCCTCACCCAGAAGCCATACAGCAAAGCCGTGGATTGCTGGTCCATTGGAGTCATTACCTACATCCTGTGAGTACAAGCAAGCAGGGTGCCACTTACTCTCCCAGCAGTCTCCCACCTTTTTTAGAGCTTCACACACCTTCACAGAGTGGAAGTGACAATGGTGCTAACCCTGCACCTCCCAGCTCCTGCTTACAGTAGCAACACATTCTTCCTCTGCACTGATTCACTAGATCATAGAAGACAAAGGAATGTGGGGAATTAAGTATCAGGCAGGAGATGAAAAGAATCACATTTTCTCCACTACATGCTTCATCCCATGGTTTTTTTTTTCAGTTGCCTGCAAACACTGTTCCATCTTCCTCAGTACTTTTTGTTTCATTTCCTCCCACACCATGTAGCTACGTACCAGCTGTGGCTTTGTCCTCTTGCTGCTGCAGATAAATTTTTACTTTTCTGCAGTATTACAAATGCACTTAGATGGGAGGGACAGATGGATCTGTGGAATCTCTTCCATTCTTCTCCCAGTCCCGTTGCACAAGCAACCAAATGGAGCTAAAGAAGAGCTTGTGCACACTCCRACTGGGGCACTGAGGGGCCGCTTTCTCTTCTGGTCTGTTCCAGGCTGTGCGGGTATCCTCCTTTCTATGAGGAGACTGAATCTAAACTGTTTGAAAAGATTAAGGAAGGCTACTATGAGTTTGAATCGCCGTTTTGGGATGATATCTCTGAGTCAGGTAAAACTCAGACACTGGGAAGCACTTTGCTGTCTCTCGCAAATGCAGTGCCTGCAATCCAGAGCCCTCTTATTCACGGGTGAGCCCAAGGACGCCACGCTGCATAAGCAGCGAGGCTGCCCCACTCCAGCATCTCCCCGGGCACCTTTCCATGCACCAGCAGGGACGGAAGGGCAGGAAACACTGCACAAGGGCAGTGAGCTGGGCTAACAGAGCAGCCAGCCCAGCCCTGGGGKCCGAGGCGCAGCTCTGCTGCAGCGGGCGAGCACAGCGGGGAGGCTGCACAGGCACCCTAGCACTTACCGACACCAGCAGCTCAGCAGTGTTTTCTGAGCGCCCTCCTTCTATACCTTCCAAAAAGAAGTCTGTCAGAAGATCAGTTTGCCTATAACATGAAGCAACATTACCCTCCCCGCAAAGTAAAAGACTAGAGGGATGTAAATCTTCTTAAGCCACCTCTTAAAGGTAATAGGGTAGCACAAGTCTGCTCTGTTGAGCCTTTCTTAGACTTTCCATTGGCAGTGGAAACAATCTGCTAAAATCATCTAACCTAAGCATGAATTTGGTACATCCTCAGTTTTTTTCATAAGGAACATTTCATTATAAAGATTTGATGATGTTATAACACAGTATTAACACGTCCTTCTTGGGGTTGACAGTTGCAGTGTTTATCCACTAGAGTCTGCCATGTCCTGTTAAAATCATATCAAGGAACAACCAGAAAATAACCTTTGCTCTTTGCTTCTCCTCCTCTCCAAACCAGCCAAGGATTTCATCAAACATTTACTGGAGAAAAACCCAAACACAAGGTTTACCTGCGAAGAAGCTCTGAGACACCCATGGTGAGAGGAACACGGCTCCTGGGGGTCAGCGCGCGCAGCCAGTGACAGCTGGTTGCCTCTGCAGTTAGATCCACGTGCTTAGTTGCAACTGAGAATGGAGGTGTCCTCCAATCCCCACTGTTAACGTCACTAGCTGCCATGGAGCAGTCCTGTGGGTTTCTTCCTTATGTATGGGAAAGGGAAAAAGAAGATAAATAATTTAAAACGCAATTTGTTTAGCACTTGCCTTCATAAACAGAGACAAAGCAGAAATCCCATTTTGAGCTCTTCCAAGCTTTGAAGTGTTTGTGTTACATTTTGTTGCTGTTTTTCCTTTGGGTTTAATTATTGCTGATTGAATATACAAAACAGTTAGTTACTCGCCTCTAGAATGTTGAATGCCTTACAAATGCCATCTGCCTATGAGCCCATTCTCTCCTCTTCCCATCTGCAGGATTAATGGAAATACAGCCCTTCACCGTGACATATACCCATCTGTCAGCGCTCAGATTCAGAAGAACTTTGCAAAGAGCAAATGGAGGGTAAGTTGTTTGCTGTTGGGCACCTAGAGCCATCTCAGAAACAAAAGCCACTCGCTGCCATCTAGCAACAAGCAGGGCTTCACCCCCATTGGTAAGCACCCCAAAGCAGAGTTCCTCCAGAAGCCACCTGAGAAGTGTCTGCAGTCAGTGTTTGGAGCATGCCCAGGCCAGCACTCCCTGCTTAATGCATATAGGCAGAGCTACCACACACAGCAATATAGTGCCCCTGCCAGCAGGTAAAGGGTAGCAGGAATGGATTATTACCTCTACACTGAACAAGTGAAATCAGCACTCCATCGACAGACCTCTTGGCAGCTTGATCCGGCTTTTCCTTTTTTCAGGCTTGAACATACACTGGAACCTCATCTGTATCAAGTGTTTTGTAGGAATTTAGGGAGAGAGAGGAAGGACACAGAACCACGTGTTTCATGGTATTATGATGCTTTCATTCTAAATTCATCTCCAGTCTGTATTTCAAAGGATGGGGTAGTTTATAGCTGCTCTCTGTGATTTCCTTATCTAGAAGTGTTTGTGGTCTTAAAAGCATCAGCAGGTTGTAGTCAATGGAAACCACGGTGTTTATGTAAGGAAKGAGCACATTCCACTTTCTACATACTGTGCAGAGAGACCGTGGTAACGGCTACAGCACTGCGGTCCCTCCCGGGGGATTGCTGCTGAGGGGAAGAAGGGCTGCACCCCCCGCAGCTTCGCCTCGCTGCACGTTCACGCCGGGGTTTTGTCTTCTTTTGCAGCAAGCCTTCAACGCTGCAGCTGTCGTGCACCACATGAGGAAGCTGCACATGAATGGTCACGCAGCAGCGGAGAACAACCTGCCTCTCCTGCAAGTCTCGGAAGCGTCCACCCCTAGTACCCCTGACGTCACGGGCCCGGGAATGCCGGGCGAAGACGGGAGCGTGTCGTTATCCTCGCCAGCTTGTGCAAACCTTCCCACGCAGCTGGACCAAGACACCGCAATGACGGAGGGGAAGCTGCAAACGCTCCCCGTTAACGGCTCCCTGCCAGGAGACAGTGGGCCGGTGCTGCCGGACCCTCCGAGCCCACCAAACAGAACTTCTTGTGGCTGCAGCTCAGCCTGCGTGGGGCACGAGAAAGCAAAGGCATCCTTTTGCTCCGAGACAGTGCTTCTTAAAAAAGCTGCAAAATCCCAGTAGGTACCCAAGTTGCTAGCTGTAACAACTAACAAAATACTTGTGATGAAATTTCAGGCACTGGTCAGTTGATACATGCTTCGCCAGCCCAGCTAGAGGGAGAAAGGGTGAGGAAGAGGATGGCAGCTGGTGTCTGGGCTGGGTGGGTAGTGGGAGAGCCAGACGTCCTCTATGCTCATGGGAATGTCGGGGAGACGCGCTGCCCAGGCTGCATGGAAATGGTGGCACTGAGCTAAGGTAAGGGGGTGCCTGTTGCCACGTTCAGCTATGTTAGTGCCCGATCCTTCCAGAACCCGAAGCTGCCTCTAGGAAAGGCTGCTGCTGCCTGACTTCAACCCTGCTTTACTGCAGTGTTAACTCGCACCCCTAGCTCAATTGCTGATACTCTTTATATTCAAARTACAACTTTAAAGAATCTGAAGAATGATCATAAATATTGTTATTTCTCTTTCTCTTTTTTTTTCCTCTTCCAATTCTATTTCCAACCAGTCCTTTCAACTCAGAAGTTCTCGTTCCAGTGAAAAACAGTAAACACTTTCACTGTGGCACGGGGCAAACTGGAGTTTGCTTGATCATGTGATGAGGAAGGCGGGCACTGGACTCCCCACATTTTCCAAGGTACATGCACCACACTCCAGCCACCAGCTGCCTTGCAGTAATGTCATTATGGTATGAGAAAGCAAAAGGTGCTAATAGCGAAGTGGCTTACAAAACAAAGTTTTTTGCAGCAATTCCATCAACTGGGACTAGGGCTTTTCACCTGCATCTCAAATTATGGCCATAAGCAAAAAATTGACCCAGGAGCTGCTTAGGTGCATGGCTATTCCTACAGCCTGAACTTGCCCTTCCCTTTCTCAGCTTTGGTCCAAGCAGCACAGTTTAAGTTGTTGCCCTTACCAGAGAGCACAGAGATGCTCTTGCTCTGTAGAACAACAAGGAACAACAGAGAAGTACAATCATGAAAGATTGCTCCCTGGCTGACCATAGAACAGATTAATTCTGGATTCATTAAGTTAACATTTGAAGTAGGAAGTATTAATGTTGTTTTCTGCAAGAAAAAAATATTCTGCAAAGACAAACRAATGCTAGCTTAGTTCTACCCAAAACAGGGATACAGTAAAGCAAGCCACATGCTTCAATCTTTTATAAGATTATATGAACAGAATTGTAAGATATAAAGGATTAATAGAAGAGACAAATGCAAGTAGGATCTACTATAGGCCCCAAATAGGTCAATTCAAATGATCAGTCATGTAATAACCCTTTAGAGATAAGGCATATAATAGGATCTAAGCTGTTCCTAACCCCCGGTGTGGCTGCTTATTAAAATAAGGTTTCGAAGACAGCAGTCTAGTCTTTCAATCCGCAGCTGAAATTCTTTCTCTTGCAGAAACAGAAGGGCTGTTTTACTCTTTTCTGCACTTCAAAGCCAGACATCAATAGTGCAAGCAAGAAGAAAGGAGGCTGTGTCCTGCCAGGAGCAGAGGAGCAGCAGTTTCTCRGAGAGCAGTGACCGACCAGTGACGGGCTGCACGCTTCTTAGTCCTGGAAATCCATCAGTGCAGTGACCTCAAGGTGTTTCTGGAGCATTAACGTTGGGAGATGGCACTTTAGCAAAGGAAAGTCTGAGGCTTCTGCTAGCATTTTCAGTGTATGTAACTCATACAACATTGCTCAATGCTATATGCTTTTGGGTTTTGTATACTGTGTAGTTGTCCAATGCATAATAATTGCACTGTACATCATAAATTCTATAAACCAAAGCCATGCAGAGTTTTACTCAGTGGCAGCTCAGCATTTCTTATTTTTTAATACAATCTGCATCCTCCTAGGATCTTGTTTACTCCCATCTTTCAGCACACTGAAGTTCAGCGTCAACCAATTGCCTAGGCTGTGCAGTTTTCACTTAGGCTACAAAAGGAGACAACCTGCTAGCAACCTCCATATGTCTGGTAATAATCACAGCAAGGTCTAAATTCCCTGCTTCCAAATCTGTAATTGTGCAATAAATACTTGCTTAATAAAGCTGAATTTTGTTTGTAAAGTGCCTGCTGGTTATTCATAGAAACTCAATGTGGAAATGGTCTATTAAGTCCCCCTCTAAAGCAATCCTGGTGCCTCTGCAGACCTGTTCCCTCTGGTACTCCGCTGGCAGAAYGTCAAGTGGTAAATACGCAGACAGTGGCAGAAAGTCAAAGAAGAAATTTGACTCTGAGTTAGAAGTTGCATTTCTCTTATTTGTATAAGTTCATGTATGATGTATAGACATAATGGAGATAAAATTATACATTTCTGTGATCTGTTTCTTTGAAAGGAAAGTACTGAAGCCAAAGCAAGTTTTAAGGATAAACTGCAGTGTACAGAAAATGTTTTAAAAAGGCTGCACCTGAATGTCTTTTATTTGAATAGTGAAATCCAGTTTCAAGAGCTTGAATTGGCTGAAACATAGGAGAGAAGAAAAAAAAACACCTTCAACAGGACTTTTCTGGATGCCTTGGATGTCTTTTTTTTTTTTTTTTTCCCCAGCTTGCAATGAAGATAGATTTCTTTTCTCATTTCCTATAAGGAGTGGGTGGCCTCACCCAGGCCAAACGAACATAAATCCTGTGCAGGRAGTTGCTTCTTTGGTTCAGCGCAGCTGTTTTCCTAAGGCACGCTAATTCAGTTTGCTAAAAATCAGAGACATTAAAACATGAAACTCCATGCAGAAAATGAGAATAAATACATAAGTTGGTGTCTATGGAGAAAGAAAACAATGCAACTATATGGCAAGACATATTGGTCATACTGGTGCGTGGCCTTGACAATTCCTGTCTCAGCAGCTGTCATAGTATGCGACTCGCTTGCTGATCGAATCCCGAATGCTCTGCACCCGCTCCTCCAGGCCCACAAGGCTCGCCAACTTGGAGATAAAAGCTTCGTTGCTTCCCTGAATTTCTGTCTCCAAAGCTGAGGAAAGGGGGGAGGAAAGTGTTACGAGAGGCTTCAGTCRGAGGAAGACATGTCCAGTTTTCCTTTCAGAGGCTACTGGAGTTAGAATAAGCCCTCCCCTCCCTCACAGAGCAGACGTTGCTCACGTAGGGAAAAGGAGAGACAGTTAACTCTCCTCCTTCTGCATTTCCCTTTGACCCCCCAGAAAACGTGAACACAACTGCTCTGAACTTTGGTTCACAAACATTGCAAAACTTGGCAGATCAGCCGTACATGTCACTTCCCCATGCGTGTGTGCTGCTCACTGCAGTCACGGTRCAGCCACGAGGCGCATCCTGCCCCATGCTGAGCACTCTGCAGGAGGGTCCTGCTGGCTGCTGCTCTCCCAAAGAGCTCTGGCTCCTCCAGCCCCTCTGAAGCAGTAAGTGACTGTACTGCTGTTGGTCGCAGAGGGCACCAGTGCAGGAGCAAGCTCTCAGGAACACRTGGCATGCTGTGAAGACCACTGCCTGCCATCCTGCTCAGCGGGACCAGAGCCCCTCGTTGGCACCCTGGGCTCCCTGCCTGCTGAGACTGGCCCCGAGCAGCCTCCTCCGAGCACCTGGCCTGCACAAGCTCCTTGACGTGCCCCAGGATTCATCAGCAACGGCCTGGCCTGTGTGCCAGGCAATCATTCACTCTCCTTCCACTTGGAAGGTGGCTCTAGACTCCCGGTCACATACTGGTTGGCCCAAAGAGTCACCAAAGTCATTRGCTTTGAATGTTTAAAAATTAAACATTATGAAAACCAAGATGCTGCCTATCCACTTGGCAGGCTCAGGTGTCCCTTCTGCACCAGGCACACATGCCCTTACTGACTAAATTTACTGGCTTAGTACCAACAGCTGCAGCCCGGATGCATCCCCCAACACTACTGAGTATTTGGTGTTCCATGAGGCAGCCCTCTAGAAGCCCTTYCTCACCGCCCGAGATTCCATGGAGTACAGAGTCTTACCTCCCATCTTGCGCATCATGGCTGAAGTTTCCTCAAGCAGAGCTTTGGCTTCCAAGTTCAGGCTTTGCAGCCTGCTGCCCTGCACTCCCAGTGTTGAGCTCTGCTTCATTCTTCCCTTCACCTCAGTGTACATTTGTTTCACTTGTTCAAATGCCTGTTGGAAAGCAAAGTGTGTATGCAGCATCAAACAAATGGGGAGAAAGGGGACTTTGCAATGCTGAATCATTTTAAATAGCAAATGGGTACTGTCCTAAAGCTTTGCCATTGGCATTATTATACAAATGCACAAAGGCTTACACCACAGTGACACAGATACGCTGATTGATAGCTACATAGGCCATGCTATCTCTGGTGGGAGATAAAGCAGAAATAAGTTTTCAGCAATAGGCATTAGGAYTGAAAAATGACCTGGATAGTGAGATATGACACAATATCAACAAGAAAAAACAGTGCACAAGCCCTGCTAGGGAATGTGCCTTGACACAGCTGGCTTTGCTGTCTTATGCCAATAAAAAGAAGGTGCAGAGCTGTGAACTGCTTTCATTCCTGACTTGTCAGACCCTGGTACCTGCTGTGCGCTCCTCGCTTGCTCGCCAGCCTTGGCTGCTGTCTGTTGTGCATCTGTGGCTCTCAGGCGATTTTGATCCGCTTTGTGCTGCAACTTGGTGAGTCTTTCTGCAAGACCACCCAGCTGACCAGCAATGGACTTCACGTTACTCTCAGCAGGGCCAAGAACAGCATTGATCTAAAAGCAGTTTTGCACATTAAGAAGGAAATCACATCCAAAAAAACCATTATAGTATTTCRATCTTTGACTGACAAATTACAGAACTGAGGTTTCAGTTGGGGATCAGAGACAGCACTGCACAATTGAGTAAAGCAAAAGAGAGGTCAGGTAGGTCAAATGAGGTTTGTAACTGGTTTTGGGAGAAGCAGACAAATGAGATGCACCAGAAACAAAAAACAGCAAGGATTTTATTAGATCCCCCAGCTTCTCTGCTATGTTGGCACAAGACACTATCAAGCAGGAAGTTTCAAAGGGAGAGTGAGCAAGGCAGAATATTGCAATTTAGAAGGTCATTGAACACCACCTACTTCTTCAATGCGCTCCTGGATGAATCGAAGGGAGGAACTAGAGCCCCTGATAGCCCCCTGGGCCTCCAGGAGCACAGTGTTTGCTCGCCTCAAATTCCCAACCACCTCTTCCACGTTGCCCTCCACGGCATTTGCCCGATTCCTGGGAAACACGGGGACAAATCATTAAATGTAGACACTTACATGGATTAGAAGTGAAAAGTATTGAACTTTTTGTTATTGTTGTTTCAACTGGTGCAGGAAAATATACTAAAGGAAAAGCAACAGCCACTCAACCAGTTACAACTTCTCTGTTTGCAGTGAAAATACTCAAACTGTGATAGAGCGTCCCCTAGAAAGGCAGACTCCCTCACCTCATCCCTTGCAGCAGGTTAAGCAGGTGTCAGACACTGCCAAGGAGTTTACATACTTATCCTGCTAACCTGCTCTCTGGGATACTGCTGAAAGTCAACACGTGACAATGCAGATGCTCCAAATTTGCAAAGCCTATAATTACTTTTTTAAGGGACTGTGGGATAATCCTCCCAACTTTCACCCGGGAAACAAACAGTCTATTTAATCCCCTCACACTCCCTTGTGCAATCAGGATATAGGTCACTAGTATCAAGCAATGCAAGAGCAAGCCTGTCATCTCTCACTGTGGGGGCCCTGGAGAAGGAAAACAGCTTCCATTAGTTCGGAAAAAGACCTTCTTGTTGTACTACCTACCAGGAGACCTATTATTAGCAGCCAGATTTCTTACTTCTATCCAGGCACCAGATGGATTGCAAATTCATTCTTTCAGGTACTGTGCATAGAAGATCCCAGGTTAACACTTCAGGTTGTTGAAGTCAGCACAGCTCCAGTAGTTATGTTTAAACCCAACTGAGAATCACCACATTCATGCTGGCTGTGTAACCCTTAGCTGCTGAAAGCCTTTGATTCTCAACTGACCTGGCTTGTTCTGCTTCCTGCTGCAGCTGCTTGGCCTTAGCAATATCCTCGGCTGTCTGGGCAAGAATGCTCTCCGGACACTGCAGCTTAGTCGCCAAATTTTGGATCTCAGTCATTTTTCTCAGGGCTGCAGCAGCATCCGTAGGGAGATGTAGTGAGAGAACAGACTCACTGATTTCCTGGATAGTAGCAGGGTCAGTGTCTCTGTCTAAAGAGTTTGCAAACAAACAGTGTCAAAAATACAAGAAAAGAATTCTGTCAATGCTGTATGATTCTTTCTCCATTACTCTGAACAACATCTCTGACATTTCCTTTTCTCAGCTTGGATCAAAGTTACCACATAATAGTTCCTAAGCATGACACAAATATGTTGATTGGCATCTTTTAGCATATTTGATGCTTTAGAATTCCCGAGGCAAAAATCTCTGTAAAACTGACCTAAAATTTGCTATAGGTCTTCAATGACCCTTCCACTAGTTACTGTTATGGACTTATGTGACCCTATTGTTCTTAAAGAGGGAGAAATATGATAAAGTGCAGGTTTATCTCAGTATTAAAAACTACTTCTACTGTTTAGAATAAAATGAGAACTGCATTTACATTTAGTATGCACTTTTCATTCACCTTGGTCAAGCCTTCCAGAGAAGTACTAAAATGATATCTTYAATTTGGCAGAGGGTAAGATGGCTAAGCCAAGAGCTCAGTCAAGTAGATCTCATTGACTAAATGAGACTGTGTTTCAAGACAAGCCTTTTCTTATTTCACAAATAAAAGTTAACAAATCTGAGGAATCAGATGCAGGCAAAGCCCAAGGGACATTAGCCTGGTGATTAGCTCAGAAATATCTTCACTCATCATTAACACCAGGCAGCACCAAATGACCTGATTTTCTTATTCAGCTAATGCTCATGAGGCTTATTATGTTATTACAATCTGTCTGTGAACAATAAGTCATCCCACTGTTTTATAGGACAACAAGGAATTTAGTCTGATTAATAGTCTGAAGATTTGTCCGAGTTTACTTCTGGTCAACAGACGTTGCTGATAAACTCTTCTGCCTCTCAGGGCTGCTCAAAAGCT